AGGTGCCTTAGTTGGTGTCCATCCCTCCTGACCACTTTGAGGGTGGGGGTTGATCTTGGTTGGTGTCATGTCCCTCCTGACCACACTTAGGTGGGTATGGAGTGAGACATTCTGGGTACAGAGTATTTCTAATAGTATGTTTTTCTGGACCAGTGTCCTCCCGCAGCTGGACATTTTTTCAGGACTTGACTCTCCTCCTGGCTAACATTTGCTGTAATGAGAGGACTGGCTAGTTATATAGGGGAGAGGCACAGGGGTCAGACACACTTATTCCCTCTGTAGCATCAGCCTATGATGTCACATGGGAGCCAGTGTCCCAGCACTGAAGCCCAGGGTGCCCTAGAGGCTGGGCCCATAGGCACTCTCGTGGCATGTACTGATTTCTAGACCGGGAGGATGCAGTTTCAACACAATCCACACAGTACCTCATGGCTGTGTTTAGACCCAGCCTGTGCCTCTCATTCAGCAAAGAGCGCTCTTGCCAGCCGAGTCCCAGATGCTGCCCAAGGGCCCACCACCAGCCTCCCAAAGGACAGCTGTCTGAGGACGTGTCCCATCTGTTAGCCAGGGGAGAGAAATCTGCAAGACTCCCAGGTTACTGAGTGCTGGAAGAGGCTGGATTGACAGGAGAGGTAGGGGCAGGGCTGACGTGTTGATGTCGTCAGCCCCAGGTCAAGGGCCAATCGCTCCCAGCCATCCGGATGGTCAGCACAGTGGGAGCCTCCATCGCCATACAAGGTTGTGCAGGATGGCACTGGTGTGGGTGGGTCTCAAGGCTCAGAATGGAGAGTCCTTGCCTCTGGGACAGGCTGGGGAGGTACCTGTCAGAGCAGCTGAAGGTCTGCCTGGCTCCTCTGTTTTGTAAAAGGGTCTGTACTTGCCAGGTACAGTGCAGGTGCACACCTGTACTCTCAGTAACTGAGGAGGCGGAGGCAGGAGGGTCACAAGCTCAAGGCCAGCCTCAGCAACGTAGCGAGGCCCTGTCTCAAAAAGTAAAAAGGGCTGGGGTGTATCTCATGTGTAGAGAAGAGACCTTTGGATCCTAACCTCAGGACCATTAAAAAAGAAAAAGGAAGATGAGATAGATCAATACGTGTTTTGTTTCTTGTTGGAAACCTTCCTTCAATCTGGTACCACCATGGCCCTGTTGGGTGCAGGCCTGGGGTTTGGGGGCCAGCTTGGTCCCCATCAGAGCCTTGGGACAAGCTCTAGGGCCCACAGGAGAGCAGGCTCTTGTCACATGCTTTAGCATGACAGCATCTCATCAAGAGTGGGTTTTGAAGGGTGTTTCCGACTTGCTGATGGCAGAAGGTGCAGCTGGGCATCAGGCACATAGTCACCAATATGTGAGCAGAACCAGGATTTTTAGGTAGAGTTTAACTTTTCAGCTTTAGAAGTTTATTTAAGTTTCTACATGTCTAGAAACTGTAAATTAAGACCCCATGACCAGGGGTCAAATAGAACTGGGCGTGTAAATAGAGCTGAAGCAGAGGCAGAGTTATCTGCGTGCAGTGAGCAGGAGAGAGCCCCAGGGCCCGGGCTTGCCACAGAGGGAACTCTGCTCTCATTTGCCTGTAAGAAGCATGCAGTCCCTTGCTCCTGTCCTCCATTCATGGAGCAGACATGATATAGTGCATGAGCATCCCCATAGACGCATCCCCATGGTGATGCCTGTCCTGAAGCAGGTGAGGGTGGGTAGCTTATAGGCTGCCTACACAGGAGTCCCTGTCTGAACCTCCTCATGCCCAACAACCCATTAGCCCATTCCTTCCCAGCCTCCCCAGCCCAGAGCTCGCAATGCATCACTGCCTTCTCCTCAGTCCCACATTTGCCCTTGCAGCCCTGCACACAGTGGAGTGCAGTAGGGTAACAGGCAAACGTGGTGCTCAGAGGGCCTCCAGAGGATGCTGGGATGGCTGCTGAGGCAGGCTTGCCTGAGGCCAGAGCCCCTAGGAAGGGGCTGTGGGGCAGAGGCTGGCAGGGGGGCTCTTGAAGAAGGAAGGCCACCTGGTTCCTGGCTGTGCCTTTCCACTTCCTGAGCTGATACTAGGCTCCACTGCTGGCTAGCACACCTTGCCAAGGGCTCCTCTTGCCAGCATGGTGGCCTATCACTGGATCTCCCAGTGTCAAATCTGCACTTGCAGTTTACGGATGAAGCTCAGTGTTTTAAACATGCTCATTTGGAGTTTCCCTTTTCTGACGCTCTTTCTGTGCCTAGAGAAGGGCAAAGGACAGAATTGTTCCACTGGGAGCCACTGGGCTGCTGGCCCCCATGAAGTCACGGAGCCCCATCCTGGTTATGGTTCTGGTGTCCTGATGACCCCCAAAATGAGGTCCTGACCCAACAAACTCAGTGTAAAGTGGAAGTAGCCTTAGTGGAGGGAGCACTAAGTACCCAGCAAGCCCTGTATCCCAGCTGGCCTCATGGCACTCTGAGGAGCCTGGGCTGAGGGCAAGCTGAGCTCTGCTGCTGCTGTGGGCAGGACAAGAACAGGTCCTGCAGGGTGTTGCTAACCCAGAGGGTCAGCTTCACTGTGTACCTTCTGCTGTACGTGCCTTGCTGTCACTGTTGCAGTGGGGTGACAGCTTCCAGTAATCCAGTGAAGTTGTGCTCAGGGAGTCCGGCTGGCCATCTCCCTCATACGTGCTGCCTCTTTTCTGTTTCACCAGGCTCTTCAGGGGCAGAAAGGCCTTGCCAGGTACGAGGATCTGCTCCCACATGGCTTCATCCACAGGCAGGTCTGTGGTGATGTGGTGATGTCTGCATCTTGCTGTAAACTGAACACTGTTCTTTTCTTGAGGTCACTCACACAAGGTCCAACAGCTTACAGTCCTAACTTGAGGCTTGCCTGCTTGGAATTCCATGTCACAGAGGACCAAGGATTGTCATTGTACATGCCTTCTCTGTGGAGCTTGCCTCTGCCCAGGGAGTCCTCAGTTCCTCCGGGCTCCCCAAGTGCACTGCCCGTGCTCACACACACAGCTGAGTGGCTCCCTCTTAGTGAAGGGCTCTTGGAGAACGTTTTTTCCTTCTAAGTTTTAAGAATGTTTAAAATTACTAGCAGGTGTTGAATTTTGTCGAGTGGTTTGTGTGTCTGTTGTAGACTATGTGGCCTCTCTTCTAAGGAGGTGTTCTCCCTATAGTGCAGGGCAGCCTCTGCCTGGTGGAGAGCAGTGGCTGAGGCAGCTAGTCCTGTTGGGTGATGCGTCTGTCCTTTTCCCTCTGCTCTGACCTCGGCAGGGTTTGATGTGTGCATCACTGGTCCGCAAACTGAGTTGGAAGAGCTGTCTTTGCGTTTCTTGTGGTGCTAGGGACAGAAGCCTGGGTCTGGTATGTGCCAGGCAAGCACTTTGCCCAAGCTGCCGCAAGCTGCCTTGTTTTCTGAGAGGACGGAGTGTCCTGGCTGCCCTGTAGGTCCCTCTGGGGACTTCCAGGCAGGAGTCTTCTTTGAAAGAAACTTTGCAGTTGCTTACTCAGCTTCTAAAATAGTTTTGGTTTTCTCCACTTGTCTCAAATTCTGGGAATTTCCTAAGTAGTCAATTTCTGAGGAATTTGCCAGTTGCATGTGGATTTGGGTTTCTGTCACCCTGAAGCTGTGCACAGCACCGATGTTGCCAGGCACCTTCCTTGCGGCTCTGTGCTCACTCACTAGGCTCTCTGCAGATGCCCACCTGTATGCCTGCTCATCTCATCTTCTCGTGTCCTCGGTAACCCACCCAGTTATGCTTGCTTATTGTTGTTGGTGCTGTCAAGACATAGGCAGTGGGGATTTATGTGTATGGCTGCCCAGTTCAGGACCCACTGGTTGTGACTTGTTAAAAGTTACGTGTGCTAACACTTCATCTCCTCCGTAACATGAGCCACCGTTGGAGTTTCGCAGCCTTGGGTGGTCAGTGGCTGCCATACTGGGCGGGGACAGTTCAGGACAGCCCTGGACACAAGCTGGCTCATCCCCCCACCTTCTAAGGACTGCACACAGGCCTGTTGGTTCTGCCTCAGTTTGCTGGGAAGACAGACTCTCCTCTGTCCCATCCTTGGGGAAGTTAACTGAGCTTCAAGATTGTTAGTCAAAGGCAGTTATGGGAATACCTAAAAGAGAACATGGTGCAGGTTGGGTGTAAGCACACGTAAGGCCTTATCTGAGCACTGTTCTCAAACTCATGCCTCACTCTGTCCTGGAGCCCTGGCGCTCTCCAGAGTTTGGCTCCAGGCAATCCTCAAGCCTTTCTCTGGGGACACTTGCTCCCATGTCAGAACAGAGCCCTGAACAAGTGCTCAGGAGATGCACCTAGGGGGGCCTGGCTGGGCTCCTGAGCTCCCCTCAACATACAGCAGTCGCCAGTACTGCTAGCCCTGTCCAAGAGCACAGTCCCTGGTGGCCGTGTGGTTGGAAGCCCATGTGGCTCTGCAGGGATTGCTCTAGTTCTTCACTGTTGCAAGCGCCCAGCTCACTGTCCTCATTCCCCTGAGCCTCGCACCTGCCAGGTGCCCACACGTTTCCTCATGCACATTCTCTTAGTGGGTGGGAAGTCTGACCAGGAAAGAATACAGTGCTCAGTGTGGGCAAATGCTGCAGAAGTCATGGGTATCACAGGAATCTAATGACAAATTTGTTCTTCACAATCCCTCTCCAGAATCCCTGCGCAGCTCACCCTGAAATCCACTGCCTCCCTTGGGGAAGTCCATGGACCCCCTTCCTGCCTTCTTGGGTCCAAAGCAGTGTGACAGAGTGCCCACCTCCATTCTGTGTCCCCAGAGCCAGGTTTCTGCTCTCATAGTTTCCCATGGCTTTGGCTGGGCTGGGCACACTGGGCAGATACTTCACCTGTCTCCATAGTAAACCCCCCTTCTTCGCCATCATTGATTTTCAATTTTTTTTTTTTAAGCAAGTAAATGAGCAGTCATGTTTAACCACCCAAGGCTCAGAGCTGCTGGCGGTGGGCCCCTGTGTGGGCAGCACCTTGCCCTGTGTCCTGTAGTGACGCCTGTCTCTGCTTCTCCTCAGGCTTCACAATGTAGCGGGACCCCCGGCCCCCCTCTCAGGTGAGTGCATTTGAGCTGGCCTCCCTCCTCCTGTGCCTTTGAATCAATGGGCAATTCCCAGAGTCATGCTGGGTCAGTGAGTCGTGGCCATGGGCAGGTCTGCAGTTCCCGGGTGGCGTCCACGACAGCAACTCTCAGTGCCCAGTGCCTTCCTTTGGGTTAATGTGACCAGTGGACTCCGTCCCCATTGCTGCAGGATTTGCTTGGTCCACTGAGAACGCAGTGGCAGGACTGTATGCAGGAGCGTCAGTGACGTGACTAGTGCCATTTCTGTGCTAGGAGATGGAAGCAGAGCAGAAGCCAGGAGGGAGGTGCCCAAGTGAGCCAGAGTGCAGAGGGAGGGAAGAGCGGCGCATCCGCTTGGTGGCCTGAAGCCTCCATGCCACGCGGGAGGAGGGACACGCAGACGTCCAGAGGAGGTGAGGCCCACCGGGGGGTGGGGGGTGAAGATGGTGGTGTCTCAGACTATGGGGGTGAGGCACAATGGGGAGGGGTGCAGTGTCAGATGGTCTCGCCAGCACTCGTGCCATACTTGTGACTAGGGAGAGTAGGTGTGTACCTGGAGCCCACAGGGCTGTGTGGGACACGTTGTGGGAGCCACCAGCTATCTCCTGGGTGTGCAGAGGGGTTGAATTGCACTCCCCTCCTGACTCATGTGGGAGCTGCAAGCAGGAGGGCCTGAGCCTCAGGTGCAGTGCCTGCAGGTCAGGGGTGGCGTCTGGTTCAGACTGGCGCAGAGGGGGTCAAGCCCACAGGATGGCACTAGTCCTCCCCACCCTGGGGCTCTGATGTCTTCGTGGCAACCACAGGCCCTGGTGGACAGCAGTGGCTGGTGGTGTATTCCTAGAGTCAGGGGCCATCTTCTACCTACTACCATATCCAGGGGCTAGGCCATGGACCAGAGAGGGCTGGCCTGGCTCCATGCCCACCTGAGAGGCAGGGATGGGCCTCCAGTTAGGAAGTGGACTTGGCCCAAGCAGCTAATCTGTGGCCACCAGGCCATGGCACGCTCTGCCATTCCTGGAGAGACAGTGTTTGCTGGAGGCTAGGTGAAACACATCGGAGTAGTTTAGATGGAAGTTGTCATAGGTTTCTCTTGCAGAAGCCAAAGATGTTGACCAGGAAGATTAAGCTCTGGGACATAAATGCCCACATCACCTGCCGCCTGTGCAGTGGGTACCTCATTGATGCGACCACGGTGACTGAGTGTCTGCACACGTGTAAGTCCGCCTACAACTCTGCGCCTTCCAGATGGTTCCAAGGACCACAGTGAGGGGGGTGGGTAGGCAGCTCCTCCTATGTGTTCCTGGGGACTTGGCTGTGTCTTACCAAAAGCTTTTAGTTCATGTGCAAGGGCAGCAGGGCCAGGAAAGTTGCAAGGACTCCAGGAGAGGTCAAGAAGTGCCCTGGGATTCCTGGAGATGAGACTTCCCTAGGATCATGGGACACAGAGCTACTGTGTTGTGGCCATAGGGCCTATGGGATGGTGACTTTCTCCTTCAGCAGGCAGAGAGGCAGGGACTGATTACCTGTTCTGACCATCTGGGCTTGTGTGGGTTTCTCTGTTTGCAAAGCAGGTACTGGTCACCTACAGGGTGATGGTACCTCTGGTGGCCGCTGAGGAGCATTTTGCTATGCAAAGGCTCTGCACAGATGACCTCCCACTCTTCACTGCTCCCTTTAGAAAACACCCATTTCAATACACACTTTATTAAGTTAATTGCATTAGAAGCCATTGGGCATAACCAGGTGATTTTTGTTGAATTTTTTCATTTTGTGTTGTACAAAGAAAATGCTGTAGTCTTTCAGGCCAGCTTAGGAAAGCTCTCAGCGTCAGCCCACCCTAGTGCCCTTGCCTGCGGAACAGCCAGGACCCCAGTTCCCACTGCTGAGTAAAGCCCAAGGGGCTGTGCTTTCTTTCAGGAGTAAAAATGTGACTCTTGCATGTCACACCTGCAAATGAGTCAGAGATGTCCTCCTTGGCTGCCATGGGGGGGGGGGGCAGGTGTGAACCAGTGTCTCCCTTCTGGACTTGCTTTCTCACTGAGTGCACCTTGAACAGTCTGCAGGAGCTGCCTGGTGAAGTACCTGGAGGAGAACAACACCTGTCCCACCTGCAGGATAGTGATCCACCAGAGCCACCCACTGCAGTACATTGGGTGAGTGCACACCGCGCCAGGTGGAATGGGACTGAGCAGCCATAGGCGTCTGCCCCTCCCTGTGGAGCCGCCACCGCCACTCCACAGGCACCCAGACATCAGGCCATGCAGTGGCCTAGGTTACTAGAGAGATCTCCAGGCCACCTGGGATTTCACGAGTTTTAATGGAGTGGCTGAAGTTCAATTTGAAGTGTGAGTCAGGCCTGGGACCCACTTTCTGTGGAAATAACTTGAACCTGGAATGGGGCCAGTAGGTGAGGAGCTCACCAGGTAGAGTTTCAGATTTGGGGGGGCCACTGGAGGAAACACAGTGCCCCTATACCACCTGTGGGAGCAAAGAAAAGTCTAAAGGCAACTGTCGAAGGGCTTGGCGTATGTCTGTGTTCTGCTTAAACTTGTGCAGTGGGCAACACAGGGGAAGGTACCAGTCCTCAGAGGCCCTGCCAGCCTCCAGACAGCCCCACATAGTCCTGTGGCCCTTCGGGTGTCAGTTGGCAGTCTGGGCTTCTCTTCTCCAGGTGCCATCTACCTCTGGTGCCTTGCTGTTCTGGTTCTGCCTTATAGAGGTCCTCCTATGGGCTGATTGCAGTGGCTGTGTGTCTGCTCTCTTGGGGTACAGTTTTGCAAACCTGAGGGAGGGGTTTCCCCACAAGAACTACTGATGGCAGGAGATGTAAGGGCCTTCATGCTGGCCGCCCCTTCTCCAGGTACTGCCTGGGGGACATACCCTTTCCTCGAAGAATCAAGCTATTGTGCTAATGTGGAGAGAGTAGGGGTGGGGCTGGGACTGGAGCTGACCAGGTGCAAGGCCTTGGGGGCTTGGGCTTGGGTCCACAGGGCTGGGTCCTGCTTCTCGTCTCCAGTTCATCTCTGGGTTAGGACTCATGGCTGTGAGCTAGGTGGAGAACCTCCCCTGTGGAGGGTCCCTGGCCTCTGGGCCCTCAGCCCCTTCCTCCTCACAGCCTGGATGGCTGCCCCCATACCCTCCTCAAGTGCCCACCCTGCACTCTCAGGGCAAGGCAGGCTGACCAGGGACTGCCACACCAAGCCTGGGTGTGGCACGGTCTTCTCAGCTTCAGCATTTGTGTTCAGGATTTACAGGGGCCAGGCTGGCAGACATCCCAGATAGGTGCTGGACCTGAGCTCCAGGGTCTGGCAGAGGCCATGAAGCATGTGACAAAGGGAGAGAGAGCAGCTCTCAGCCTGTGTCAGAGAAGGGGCTTCACTCCAGGGGCTGCCACTCAAAAGCCCTCTTTGCCATTCTTCCCCATCTGTTTAGCACCTGCTCTGAAGAAAGGTCCCTGCAACTCCTAGGCATGTGGCAAAGCCTGGTGCCATGAGGGACCCAGATGTAGAGCTTGGTGGCAGGCAGCATGACCCAGTGTGTCCTGGGGTGGGCAAGATCTGGTGGGAGAGAATCGTGCTGGGAGGTGTCTGTGGCACTGTGTGCACTGAAGGCCTGCTGAGCACAAGCGTCCTGCACAGGACGTGGGCGAGGGGGGCCTGAGAGCCCGCGTGGCCCTCCACACTCCACTCAGCTCATGGAGTAGACCGCTATCCTTGTAAACAGCTGCTGCACCTGGCCCTTGATGGCTGGATTTCTGTGAATTTTATGAAATTTTAAAATTTGTCAGTTATTTAGATATCACTAATTTGGTGCATAAAGGCTTCGTTTTTGTGGAAATTATGTTTAGAAATTAAAGTTGATTTGAAAACTAACAATTCTGTAACTGTTTTTGACCTAAAAAAGAAAACAGTTTCTTTTTTTTTTAACCTTTGTTTTATTTATTTTTATGTGCTGCTCATATGCACTAGGCGAGCACTCTACTGCTAAGCCCCAGCCCCAGCTCCAGCTCAATGTCAGAAATTTTCCAAGTGGATTAGGCCTGACCTCATGGAGCTGGGGCCCCAGGCAGGAGGGCAGGAGCAGAGTGTGGGTAGCCCAGAGCTGCCCCGTGAGTTGGCCCCAGGTCCAGCAGGACAGGCATCATTGCTGGGGTAATCTTCTGACCTGCCATCACTTTTTGAAACACTCACTGAGCAGCCTCAGTTCAGGTCATTGAGAACTTTGGGCAGCACATTTTTTCATATGCAAACTGAAAGGAAAACCTCACCAAAACCTGTGCTGACCACATGGACAATGTGAGAGCCACCGAGTAATGTCCCCTGACACCCCACTCTTCTCTCTGCAGTCATGACAGAACCATGCAGGACATCGTTTACAAGTTGGTGCCAGGCCTCCAGGAAGGTAAGACTCACATGCTGCGCTAGGTCGGGGGCTTGACCCTTGACTGAGGGGCGAGCTCGCAGAGCCCGGTGGCACCGTCTTGTGCACCATACTCCCGACTCCTGCTGGATTCTCCTTTACTCTTTCTGAGGTGTGTGGAGTGTCTCAGTCCCGGGAAAAGGCAAAAACGCCCCCAAGGGAGATGCTGAGACCTCAAAATGTGTTTGCAGCAGTGCTTGAGCTGCTTCCACAAGCTCACCAGGAGCTGTGTGCTCACCCGTCCAGCAGCTCCACCAGGCTCCTATGCCACCCGCTGTACCTTGCAGCTCATCCATGGTATTAGCTTTTGTCCTTTAGGATTGCTTAACCCAATGCCCACATGACTGGTGGGATTGCTCCTGCTATTATCTCTGGTTATCCTGTGAATGCTCTGGCTTTTGGCTTGTGTTTGTTTCTGGTTGTTTCTGGCAGGATGCACACAGGGCTTGTGCTTAGGACTGACCCATAGCCTCCTCAGTGTCAGTTGGAGGTGCCTCTGCACTTCTTATCCTGGGGTGTCCCCCAGGTCTGGACTTGCAGAGGACCTGCCTCCTGGGTTGGGTGGAATTGGCAGTAGCTCCAAGTTGTTCTGGCTACCCCTGAGCAGGTGCTATCTGGCCCTGGAGGTGAGGGGTTCACCGTGTCCTTGCTTCTGGGCGGGCAGTGGAGATGCTGTACTGCTCCTGCTGTTCCCTTCTTCTCCTGGCTGGAAGATGTTGACAAAGACACACTGCTGCTCAGGTTCCCTGAAGGTCTGTTTGTAGGGCAGGCAGGACAGACACACACGGAATCCTCCATCCTCTTTCCCAACACTCCGCCCACCCTGCCACCTGTACATTGCCATTAGGATCCTTTTGAAGCTGGGTCATGTCTATGGCCAGCAGATATCTCCTACTGGGCTAGGGTCCCTGTGGCATCCTGGCGGCCTGGGTGGCCAGTGCTCCCAGGGCAGGAGGTGCTGGGGCTACCCACGACTTCACCACAGGTGGGAGTACACACCAAGGCCGTAGGCAGTGCAGTTGCCTCTCCACTGCCATTTCTGGCACTGCTGCTTGGAGGAGAGTGGTGGTGTGGGAGGCCAGCTGTACTGAGCACCTGCTCACTCCTGGGTACCGCATCTCCCTCACCACACCAACCCATCCAGCATGGCACCATTGGCCCCACTTGGAAGTTGGAGGACCCGAGTTGGAGAGCCAGGTTCTCAGCTTCACGTCCCAAGCAGGAGGCTCGCACATTTGGGCTTAGCCCTCCTGCTGGTGCAACCCTAAGCACTCTTCTCTGACCGGCACATTTCCTCTGGGGTGGATGTCCTTCTCGAGTATTCTCACTCTGTCAAGGTGGTCCTCAGGTGAGTCTCACCCTGACGCAGCAGCTCACTTCCTTTTTGGTGGAGGTAGGCTGCAGGTCATCTGGCTTCCTTGGTTGTGCCAATGTTCGTAAACCTCATTCTCAGGCCAAAGTCTCCAAGTAAGTAGGGCCTTGGGGCTGGGGATGTGGCTCAAGCGGTAGCGCGCTCGCCTGGCATGCGTGCGGCCCAGGTTTGATCCTCAGCACCACGTACCAACAAAGATGTTGTGTCCGCCGAGAACTAAACAATAAAAAAAAAAAAACATTAAAAAAAAATTCTCTCTCTCTCTTTCCTCTCTCACTCTCTCTTTAAAAAAAAAAAAAAATAAGTAGGGCCTTGTACCCATGAGTCATTCCTGGGATCATGGGGTGTGGCATCTGTGTCCCTGGGACAGCTCCTGGGTTCTCCTCTTGCTTTGCTTTTGAGAGGCCGCAATTCATTTAGTTGCCAGCTATTTCTTTTTGGTTCTGTGGTATTTAAACCTGTCTCCCCCTGGCAAGACCTGTTCTCTGAGCTAACTAGGTTGCCTCTTTCACACCTGAGGCCACCTTCCTACTTTCCCTCCCCTTATGCCTAGGGCCTGGAGGATTTTCACACACTCAGCAGCAGACCTCCCTGCACCTCTTCCTCTGCTCTGAATGGTCCCTTGTGGCCATGGAGCTGCTGGGGACATGGTGTCTGCATGTCGTTTTATCTCATGCCCTGCTGCACTGGCTGGCACAGGTGCTGGCATCCGGCAGCCTACACCTGACCCATTGCCTTCTTAATGGCTTGAGGGTCATAGTGCATCAGTGACGGGGCCATGCCTGGCGTCTGGTCTGCCTCCCGTCCAGTGGCAGGCTGGTGCCTGCTGCAAGCCAAGGGTCGTGCACTTGTTGCTCTGAGCTGCAGGCAGCACTCTGCACATCTCAGCATCATGCCTGCAGAGTGAGAGCCTTCGAACACCTGTACCAGTGCTGGTCAAGCTTTCTGTCATCATGCCACACAGAATGTCCAAGCTGGGGAAGGAGAAAAGCAGGCTAGCAACTGACTGCCCTCCTGAGAGCATGTAGAACAGACCTGCTTAGCAAGCAGAACCACCTAGTGAAAGTGGGAAGCGACAGTCAGGCTGAAGTGAGGCTTGACTGGCCTGTCTGCTGGCAGGAGCCACATTTGCCACGCACGTCAGCCACACGGCTACACAGATTTCAGCAGCTTGGCAGCAGCCATCTAGGTCTTTGATTTTGTTCTGATCTAAGGGTTGAAGTTATCTCTGCTCAGTGCTATCAGACCCTGAATGACTTTGGAAGCCTCTCACTTCACACCTGTTTCTTCCTGTCCATCCTGGTGCCACAGGGCAAAGCCACACTCACCCCAGAGTGCAGGACCTCAGTGTGGGGGGGGGACCTCGGCATGCGCTCCTGCCCTCAGCTTTCCCTCGCCCTCACAGAGTGCCGAGACAGTCGGCCCACAAAGAGAAAGCACTGGTTTGGCTCAGTTTTGAAAGTTCCAGTCTGTGGCCAATCAGCCTGTTGCTTCATGCCTCTGGAGAAGTGGCACAACCTGACAAGAGCGTGACCAGAGCAGAGCTACTCACCTCAGGCCTGTGAGCACTGCGGCCCCACATCAGTCCCTTCAGAGGGTCTCCTGATAGGTTCGGCCTCTTCTCTACCACTCCCTAAAGGGCCATTGTGGAGACCAAGCCTCGAGCACTGGGCCTTTGGGGGTTGCTGGTCCACACCACAGAGGCAGGACCTCGTTGTCCAGACTTGCCACAGCTGTGCTTCCTGGCGCAGCACCGTCTGGGGCCTAGACACAAGTCCAGAGGAAGTCAGCCACATGGTAGAGGAGTCTGCACCCGGCCTCAGCTGGAGGACCACGCCCGTGGCATTGGGTATGGTGGAAGGCCAGCACGGAGCAGGCCTCTGAGCTTGCCTCATTACACACTGGAGAGGTTCACAGCACAAGCCTGTGTGGGGACCTCAAGTGAGGCACGCAGGCCTTGTGGCATATGAGCATGGGGACATGTATGTGAGCCCTGATGCCAGGCGAACAGTGTCGCCCCACAGGGGCTCTGTCCTCACTCTGGAAAACTGCCCTTGGTGGCTGTCACTGTATTTTGAATTTCTTCAATAAAAATTTGGGGGGATTTGTTTCTCACCTGTTAACTGGGCTGTGCAGAGCTTCATTCTGCCCTCTGTCCTTCTGCCCTCTCCAGGGAGAGCTCCTGCCCTGAGTGATGTACAACAGGCTGGCGCACATGCTGAGCAGGGTTTACCCTGGTCTGCGGGCTCAGCCTCCCACCCCCAGGTTGGCACCCACCATGGGCCCAGGGACACCTCTGTCAGACTGGCCCAGGTGGCCGATGGCTTTCCTAGGAGTGGCTGTGGGTCTCAACATTGCTGCTTCCTTTTCCGTTCCTTAAGGGGCATCTTGCGGATGGAGTCTAAGTCTGCGTGTCATGGCACATGTGTGTTGTGGCGTGTGCTCCTTTGTAGCAGATGTGACCTCTGTCACAGTCGGATGGCTGTCAGGTTCCCCTGGGTGAATGGCTGCTCATCCTAGGGCGGCTTGTGCGTGGGGTTGCCTTGCTGTGATTGGCCAGTGCTTCAGCTTCTCTAGGAGCAGCCACCAAGGCTTAGGCACTGTGTTGCTGGGGATTGTCTGGAGGGCCAGCCCCGCAGTGGGACCCGTGGCTTTAAAGCAGTTCCAATCTTCCAGCGTTACAAATAGGACTCAGCAGATAGCTGGATTCTAATCTCCTCATGCATTTACCTGGTTCTTTGGGAATAGATGACTAATGGTAGGATTCTCATGTCATTGTTAAAGTGTATAGAGTATTTTAGGCACATGACACCAAAAACAATCCCCATTGTTTCAGTGTGTAGAGACATGGCATTGGGGCCCTTATTTTTATTCTTTTGTGTCCTCATGGGTGAGAAGTAAAGAAATAATATGTGCTAAGGTGTCCAACCCAAGTTGCTTGCCTCATGTCCCCAGGTCCTGTGGGCTTGCCATGCTGTCCCATGTCATGCACAGGGTGCCGTGCCTCCGTCTGGGCTGCTTTTGTACAGTGGGGGGACACCCCATTCTGAGCTGACCCTTGCTGGCTCTCAGGCTAGAGTGCACGTGCCTCTCGCCTCTAGCAATGCCCACGGCTCCTGCAGTGCTCAGCCTATACGTCTTCCTTCCTGCACACTTGAGCATTTTCAGAACAGCTGTGTAGGGCTGGACATACCCAGGACTCTGCCCAGGTGGTCTTGGGGCTCGTTGTCTGTAGGAAAAAACAGATATGCAGGTAAAAAAAATCAATAAAGGACTTTTGTTTCAGCTACACAAATTGGTTTTCCCAGAGACGCTTGATAGGGCCGTCATCGAGCAACTCCCTTAAATTTTCTTGCTACCTGTGTGTCCTGAGTGGTGTCCAGCCTCTTGCTTCTTCCCTGAGGTCTGAGCATTAGTCACATGGATGGAGCACTAGCTAAGAGTCACTCAGTAGCAGGGAACTTATGGTTCCCTGGAATAAAGGTGCCAGGCTGGCCTGCTGTCCAGTGAGGGTGCAGGTTGGCAGCTGTGTTCAGGCCCTCCGTCAGCCAGCAGTCTGGCAGATCTGGCAGAGGTAGAAGGATAGAAGGGACTTTCTGCCTGTCTTCAGGAGGAGTTCCTCTCTGGGGAGGGTTTCCTCGATTCTTGCCCTGTTCTGCTGCTGGATGCTGACACCAGGGGGCACTCTTGGCCCAGTGCCAGGTGGACACTGTCAGTACCCAGAAGCTTCCAGGCACGGTTGCCCTGGTCCTTTTCCTACTGGCAAGCCCACCCTCGGCCCGTGCGAGCACTCCTGCACTGCCTGTGGTAAAACGGCCATGGGCACCAGACAGCACATCTAGATCGCCCAGCTGTCTATGCACAGTGGTGGTACCCAAGGATCACCAAAGCTCCCTCTGTTACACCCCAGCACTTTGTGGGGCCGCGGAGGGGGTCGGGTCACAGGGCTAGAGAGCCTTTCCACTTGCCAGGTTCTTGTGTGGTAGGGCCTTGCCCTGGTTCCTGTGCGCCGCTGCATGGTCCCACAGTGCTGCGTTGACCAGGAGCTCTTGCCTCACCTGCTGCTTTCTTGGCAATAGCAGTCTTCAGGGTTCATAACCCAAATCTGCATTCCTTCTATGGCATCTGTGCAGTCTTGCTGAATCCCTTCCTATTGAAGATTGAAGGCTGTCTGTTAACTTTTAATAGCGGAAATGAGGAAGCAGAGGGAGTTCTACCACAAGCTGGGCCTGGAGGTGCCGGGTGACATCAAGGGGGAGGCGTGCTCCGCAAGACAGCACTTGGATCCCCGCAATGGTGAGTGTCTCCATGGCTGCATATGCCTGGGCTCCATCAGGCCTCTGGTGCAGCTCTAGGTGGCTTCACCACCCATGAGGCAGCCCTTAGGGGTGCTGGGCGGGCATGGGTCAGAGAGCCAGAGACACCAGAATGTGCCTGGAGGTCATGGTCAAAGGGCAGAGGGCCTAAGGAAGATGAAGGTGAGGGAGGTGAGCTTCCTAAGGTTGGACTGTGCTGTCTTACCATAAAATGGCAAAATAACATTTGGTTTGGGTGTGAAGTCGATGGCACCTTATAGTCTCTGCATACTGAACATTGTTCAAATCTTTGAGGCCTGGTATTTTTCTGGTGGACCACACAAGTTCCTGAGAAATCTCTGGACCAGCCTGAGTATACCTGATGATGCGTAGACAGGGGGAGGACCCTGGCCACCGCCATGTGGAGAGCCAGCCACCCAGTTCTCAGGAGTCACCCCAGGCCAGAGAGGTGGCCAGAGTCTGTCCCTAACCCTGTTGGGGTTCTGGGGCAGGCTCTGGAGCCAGGTGCTGTGGGAGCCTGGCGCTGGTCCTGTTGCCCACTGCTCAGTTATCTCTGTGCTCTCAGACAGGGTCCCCAAGCCTTGGGCAGCCTCAGGAGCCCTGCAGCCTGGGGCACCTTGTCTTGGCAGACCTTTACACAGGCTTGAGTTCCACTGGGCTTTTGAGGCCAGTCTCAGAGAGAGACTGTTGGTGGCACTTTGTGCTTCAGGGTTGAGAAGAGCATGGCATCAGGCCTTCTCAATGCAGTTAGCACCCCTGGGTTCCCACCACTGCTCAGTGGCTTGGGATTCAGGGCCTCTGGATTTCAGTGGAGGGAAATCCCCAACTCTCAGTGTTTTCTCTTTGTGTGACAGGTGAGACCAAAGCAGACGACAGTTCACACAAAGCCACCACAGAGGAGAAGCAGGAGGAGGATGACGACTACCACCGGAGTGACGAGCAGGTGGGCCCCACGAGTCTCCCAGCGCCATGCCGGCTGTTCTTTTTTCCCTTTGGTGTACTACCAGACACACGTATGTGCTGTCCATTATACATTCCAGACTTAAACATGGCAGTCCCCTCAGGTTCCTCCTCCCAGACGCTCTGTGCTGTGAGGAGCACCTGTGGGCAGTGAGAGGGACTGGGCTGCTCCCTCATGACCAGGCAATCAGGACATGTGGGAGAGCGACATGGGCCTTGGTGCCCACCCATGGCAGCTTTCTCAAAGCCTCACGCAGTCACCTGCAGATGCTTAGAATTGATCTTGCTCCAGGGTGATGAGCTCAGCATGTGGGAACGGGTAGGTGCAGGGAACTGTCCATAGCCAAAAAGTCTCGCTCAACGTCTGGATAGAAAGGAGCTGTGAGGGGCAGTCCCCAGCTGCCCTGTATTGTGGTCCCAGCAGCTGGGAGGTAGTAACCAGCTGCCAGGTACACCCCAGGGCACAATCCTGCCAACTCAGGTCAGGACCTTTGCAGAGGTGGGGTTGGGCTGGCCACAGCAGAACACAGCTTGGCTGAAATGTGGCTGGGGCAGAGCACAGGGACCTTTGATGTTTCTTTATCCACGCCTGCACTTTAATGACACTTGGTGGGCCTCGCCAGAAGCAGGGACAGGGCTACGGGTGCCCTGGGTATGATGAAGGCAGCTCTAACTGCAGCCCAAGCCCTAGAGCAGAGGTCACCTTGGTGGTGTGGCCCCAACCCATGCTACTGTCTGGTCCTGAGTCTATGGGTATCAGTCACCATCTGAAGGTGGCTTAGAGGGTTGCTCAAATAAGGCCTTGTCTCCCAGACCTGTCCCCCTGCTCCCTGGGACTCAGCCCTGCGCCTGGACCATGTGGTCTTGCGCCTGGACCTAGTGCTATGGGTGGTGGAGGATTGTATCTAGTGTTCTGCTCTATTTGACTTACACTTTGCAGCTCAAGTTTTTTCCACTGTTGACCTACTGATTTTTGCTGCAGCACACAGTGCCTGGAGCTCCATGCTTAGGTGGCCTTGTGTATATGAGAGCAGGCCCTGCTGTGTGCACGCCACACACACACACACACACACACACACACTCACACACACACTCACACACACACACACTCACACACACACTGGTTTTCTCAACTCTAGTTTGAAAAGTCCTATCTGCTGTGCCCTTATGCTTGACAATGCATGTTTTATTTTGGCGTTAGTTACTGTGATCCAAATACCCAAGAACACCTTGGAGGTTGATCTGGACTCATGGTTTCAGAAGCTCGGTCTGGTTCTAGGTTGGGTGACTCCAGGGCTCTGGTCTGAGGTGAGGCAGCACCTCTTGGCCGACGAACATGGTGGTGGCTCCATTCTCGGTGGCCAGGCAGCAGTGGGAAGGGGCAGGGCCCCTGGAAAGGCAGTGTTGTGGGGCCTGCCCCAGAGACACCTAGCCACGACACCCCTGCCTGCAGTCCCCGCCCGCTCAGCCCAGTCCTGATCCAGCTGTTCATCTGTGGATGCTCCAGCATGTCTGGGAGGAGCTCTGGCCACCGCACATGCAGACCACAGCACTTTTAGAGCCTGCTGCCCTCTGCTCACTTCCCACAGGTGCCTTCACTGGCCTCGTGCTCCTGTGTGCTCTTGCCTGCTGCGTGTTGTGTGGCCTGCCCTGCAGTGGGGGATCTGCCCTGAAGGTGCCACGGGTGCCCCATGTCCTGTGCTGTGTGCTCTCTTGCCAGCCCATTTTAAAGTTTTGCTTTTTTCTCCCACATTTTTTCCTGGTGCATCACTGTTGTACATGTTGATAGGATTTCTTGTTACAAAGTTGTACATGCACACAATACATAATATAACAATATGATTTGGCCAGTCTCACTCCCCAGCACTTTCCCCTCCCTCCCTACCTTCCATCTCCTGATCCCTCTTCTCTACTGATCGCCCCTTGATTTTCTTGAAATCTACCCCACTTCTGTTTTCCTTTTGCTTCTCTAGCTTTGGCATATGAGAGAAAACACACAACCCTTAGCCTTCTGAGTTTGGCTATGTCACTTAATGATGGTCTCTACTTCCATTCATTTTCCTGAATGTGCCATGATTCCATTTTCTTTATTGCTGAATAAAACTGTTTTGTGTATTTTTACCACATTTTCTATATCCATTCATCCGCTAATGGACACCTAGGCTGATTCCATAGTTTGGCTACTGTGAATCATGCTTCTGTAAACACGGGTGTGCATGTGTCACTGCAGTAAGATGACTGTAATACCAAAGAGGGTCTAGCTGGGTCACATGGTGGTTCCATGCCAAGTCTTCTGAGGAACCTTCACACTGATTTCCTCAGTGGTTGTCCCACCAACAGTGTAACAGTGTTCCTTTTCCTCCACATCCTCTTCAGCATTGTTGTTTGTATCTTTGATGACTGCCACTCTGACTGGTATGATATGAAATCTCAGGGTAGTTTGATTTGCATTTCCCTAATTTCTAACGATGTTGAACATTTTTTTATGTACCTGTTGGCCATTTGTATTTCTTCTTTTGAGACGTGTCTGTTTAGTTCATTTGCCCATTTGTTATTGGGGTTATTCATTGTTTTGGTGGTGACATTTTTGAGTTCTTTACATATTCTGGATATTAATACTTTGTGAGAACAGTAGCTAGCAAAGATTTTCTCCTATTCTGTGGGTTCTCTCTTCAGATTCCTAATTGTTTCCTTTGCTGTGTAGATGCTTTTTAATTTATTGCTGTCCCATTTATTAACTCTTGGAATTATTGGCTAAGCTTTAGGGGTCCTACCAAGAAAGCCATTGCCTGTACCTAAAAGCTGGAGTGTTGACCTTATTTTCTTCTAGGAGTTGCTTAGTTTCTGGGTTGTTTTTTGTTGTTGTTGTTATTGTTGTTATATTTTGTTTTTGTTTGTTTTGGTTTTTGGGTACCAGGGATTTTGGTACTCAGGGACACTTGGCCACTGAGTCACATTCCCAGACCTATTTTGTATTTATTTAGAGGCAGGATCTCACTGAGTTGCTTACCATCTCACTTTTGCTGAGGCTGGCTTTGAACTTGTGATCCTCCTGCCTCAACCTCCCAAGCCACTAGGATTACAGGTGTGACCACTGTGCCCAGCTAATTCATAGGTCTTTGTTCCATTTTTGAGTTGATTTTTGTGCAAGGCGAGAAATAAGGATCTAGTCTCCTTCTACATATGGGTAACTAGTTTTCCCAGCATCATTTGTTAAAAAGGCTCTTTTCTCCAGTGTAAAGCTTGCTTTTTGTGGTCAGGCTATAACCCCCACAGCTGACTGTGTGGGAGGAAGTGCAGTTGGCCATCATGAGTCAACCAGTGCATTCACCACCATTTGCTACAGGAGTATCTACCAGGAGACCTGCGAACCACATGGGTCTGTTCTGTCCAGCAAGCCCCACGTAACCCACCCTGCCTCATTATTAAACTATTTACCTGAGCTGTGATATAGTAGGATAATCCCCAAGATTATCTTGAGAATCAGGTGAGGTGGTGGTGCACCCTGTCATTCCAGTAATCAGCCAGGCCTTAAGCAACTTAGCAATACCCTGTCTCTAAATGAAAAAAAAAAAAAAAATAAGAAGCTTTGGGATGTGGCTCAGTGGTTAAGTGCCCCTGGGCTTCATGCCAAAGGAAAAAAAAGGAAAGAGAAAGATTGTCTTGAGTAACTGGCGCTTTGCTCCTCTGAATGGCCTTGGGAACCAGCTGCCGGCTTTCCTCAGCAAGCCCTTGGAACCTTCACCAGAGAGAATCCGAGTGTCTGTAGATTCTTGTTGGGAAAAGGCAGAGTTCTAAGAGAGGAGTGCTCGTCCTTGGGCCTCTATGATTGGTGAGCCTTGAGGCCGCCTGGCAGGGGTCTGCCTTCGACAGAGCTGTGCAGGAAGCCTGGGGAAGGTTTCTGTGTGCAGCTCTGATGGACTTGGGTATGAGCAGATGAGACCAGCCTGGCCGATGACTATGCACTGCCTCTGCTGGGTGCTCTGAAATGGCTGGGGACACTGCTGTAAAGCCAAGTCCTCGCTGAACTCATCCTGCAGCCAAGCACACTCTGCCCCAGTGGCCTCTGCACACCCACATGCTTCAGGGCCTGGGCAGCAGCCCCTGGCAGGGGAGGACTCCTGATGTGGCCGTCAGTAGGCCCTGCCTGCCTTCTGTCTTCCACAGAGCTGTGCTCAGGCTGGGCACGAAGCTAGCTTCCTCACCAGAACCCTGGCTGGAGCAGGCAGCTGGGCCCGGCAGACCCGTGTCTTGGTCTGGCTCAGACTCCACACCGTGAAGGGTGCCTTGTGCCTGCCACTGCACTTGGGCCACACCCAACCTGGGGTCAGCCGTCTGTGATCAGTCCCCTCCTGAGCACAGGTGGCCCCTCAACCAGTGCCACACATGGCCAGCACATGCCCTTGCGCTGCGTTGTGCCAGTGGGTGTCCACCCCGTGGGTGTCCACAGGGGGGTGCTCCAGGCTGTCACTGTGGCTCAGCTCTTGGTGCACACAGATTCAGATGTTTCTCCAGTTTTGTTTTGGTTGACATGTGCCTGGAGTTAGTTTTTAAACATCTTAAGTGTGATGCTTTCTGTAGCTATCTGCTAGGGATTTTTAAACCAAATCAGAATTTTTCCTTACCTGGCAAGTAGCTTTGCTTCCCCGTGACCACAGGTGAGTATGAGCGGGTCTCTGCCACTCTACAGCCCCGTGTTTCTCTGTTCCCCTTTCTGGCACCAGGTGCTGTTGGTGGCAGAGAATTGCTAAGTTTTCTGTAATCTGTTTGCTGCCACTCGCTTGCAGGTTGTAAGTTCTGCTTCAGCTCATGTAGTGGCCACAGATCACTCAAGTGAACAAACATCTGCATGTTGAAGGTCCAGGGTTAGCATCGCTCTGCACCTGCCCGTCTGGGCCCTCTCTTTCTTCCTCCTTCATCTCTCTTCCTCCCCAGGGTCTTTCCCACTGAGCTCTGCTTTTCACAGTTGCTTGCTGCTGACTTTGCTTCATTCTCTTTGTTGGTTTTGTCTTGTTTTTTTACTGGGATTGAACCCACAGTGCTCTGCCAGGGTCACCCTCAGCCCTATTTAAAGCATTTTTTATTTCAAGACCAGGGTCTCACTAAGTTGCTGAGGCTGGAACTTTTGATTCTTGTGCCTCAACCTCCAGAGTCACTGGGATGATAGGGGTGCCACCATCCTGACACTCTCGGTTATTTATCTGCTTGGTTCTGTTTCTTCCTGACTTGAGGTCCACTGTGCCTCACTATTTAGGACTCCTGTCCAGTGGAGCCCTGCCCCAGCCCCACAGCTCCTACACACTGGCTGGACGTGGCTGTCCCTCCAGCTCACCTCTGTTGGTGCTCTGCTTCCTTCCCTACTTGAACTGGTGCCTGACTCTGTGCTTCTTGTGGTTAGCTTCCTCTAGAGATCTCTCGGAGGTTAACCCTCCACACTGAGATGGACCATGGCCAGCCGCTGTTGGGTTCTAGCTTCGTGTTTGCTAGTTGATGATGTGCCTGTATCTCACACTTGTAACTCTCCCTTTTGCATCTCTTACCACTTTAGACATCATGTGTCAGTTGATTCTTTTATCTGAATTTTAAGGGGCCTCGGTGTTCTCCAGGTTCTCGGTTCCCACCTCCTGCAGTGGTAGGCTTCTGCAGCAGTCCTGGGAGATTGTGTTTGCTTTGTGGATGGTCAGGATGGGTGGGTGAAGTGGGTGGGTGGCTCACAGCACTAGAATCCTGTGGTACCCCTACCCTGACAGTTGGAGGCTGCTGCTCCTCCAGAGAACTGCACAACCACATTGCAGTTCTGCTAGGGACTGCCTTTCCCCAAGGCCACACTGGTCCCCATGTCTGCCTCATCCTCAAGGCCACACCTAATGCCATGTCTCTCCAAGCTTCTCTGAATGCTCCAGCCACCCTGCCAGGGTTCTGCCAAGGCTCCCTCAGGGCATCTGTTTGCCAAGGGCAGGATGGGCGGGCTGACTGCAAAGGCCAGGGTGACGGCAGGCAGTTTGAGGACTGTCCAAATACCTGAAGAGAACTGCAGCGATGGAGAAAAGCAGCTTCTGACTTTAGAGGCCCGGCTCCTAGGCTTAAGGCAGGGTTATCAGTGGAGACCTGCTGACAACTGACTGCCTGCTGACATGGCCCTCTGTCCCCAGGTGAGCATCTGCCTGGAATGCAACAGCAGCAAACTGCGGGGTCTGAAGCGGAAATGGATCCGCTGCTCAGCGCAGGCCACAGTCCTACACCTGAAGAAGTTCATCGCGAAGAAGCTAAACCTCTCCTCCTTCAACGAGGTAACTGCTCCTCTGTGAGCAGAGGAGACAGGCGTCGCTCCCCACTCGTGAGAGATCCTTCTCAAGTTCTTTGTTGTTGTTTTTTCCCCACAACTTTGGAAATTTTAATAGAAACAAAATTCCTGCTGGGTTTTCTTGCCCTGCCAGGTCGTCCACAGGAAAAGCAGCAGAGGCTGTGGGAAGAGAGGGTGCTTGGAGTAGGCTGGAGACTTGTCCTGAGGAGCAGTCCTGCTCCTGCAGTTTGCCTCCTGCGTGGATGGTCAGGATGGGTGGGTGAAGTGGGTGGGTGGCTGCCAGCTTTGAGGTTGTAACAGTAGTGAAACTTGTCTGACCCAGAGCCTGGGCATCAGGGGCTCTGGAAGAGAGTGTGTCACCACAGCAACCATGGCCCTCACTTGGAGGTGCAGATGGCCAGCAGGAGCCAGTTCTTCTGGGCCCAGGCCAGGCTCCATGAATGGTGGTGTAGCATTATAGGCCCCTCGGGCTGGGTGAAAAGTGAGCTCTGGGGCACAGACACAGGAGCAGGAGAGGCCAGTGGTAAGAGCTGTGAGAGAGAAAGGTCAAGGTGTTGTGTAGAACCCAGGTGGCTGACACGAGGTGTGCTGGGGAGAGCAGTGTGTGGACACGGCCTGGCAGGTGAACCACGGCCTAGCCAGAACCTGCGGACGCACCTTATTTGGAAATCGGGTCTTTGTGGACATAATCATGTTAGTGATCTTGAAATGAAATAATCCTAGATTATCTTCTGGACCCTAAATCTAATAACAAACGAGCCCTGTATGAGAATGAGGCGGTGGAAGGTGAGACAGACTCATGGAGGCCTCTCAGTCCCTCAGCCCCGGGTCGAGACTTGACCCCAGGGTGGCTCAGGCGTCAGGACAGGCTTACTGCTCTCCTGCTGTCTGCTGCTCTTGGGGCCTGTGAGGATGTAGCCTAGAGGCCCTCAGCAGTTGCAGCCCTGCTTGTGGAAGGCCCCTGCTCCTTGCTGATTTCCCAGTCTGCTTCTGCACACAGCCACAGAGGCCATGTGAGAGGCCAAAGGGCCTCTGCAGCGCCACAAAGCCAAGTCTCAGGAGGCCAGGAAGGGACCCAGTCCTGGCCCAGCGCAGCCCCATAGGACACACTACACATGCCAGCCACGTGGGACCCAGAGAAACCAAGTCCAGATGCAACTTGCGTTGGGAAGAAAGCAGAGGAGAAAACAGGGAAGGGATGTGGCTTGGCTTGCATTTCTGTGCTGAACAGCAGCCTCGCTGGTAGCTGGCCTGGAAGGGGTGAGGGGACTTGGGGTTCTGTGTAGAGGAGGCAGAGCTTGTTAGAGGGAGCACGAGTATACCCTGGAGGGGAATGGTCCTGGGTAAGCCTCTCTCCCTGGCACAGAGAGCTGTCCTTGGGAGTGGCAAGAGGCGTTGAGGTATCTGCTGTGGTCCCAGAGCATCGGGATCCCACAGTCTGCTCTCTAGCCCCTTTCACAAATGCTGGGCAGGACAGAGGAGCCTGTGTGAGAGGACAAGAGGCACAGGACACGTCACAGATGACACCCTGCCTCGCAGGGCACAGCAGCCACTGCTCTGCATAGCACAGGGCATATGGAAGCAGAGCCATTGGCATGCCCACCTGGATCACCACCGCATGCAGTCAGAGACATGCTGTAGAAAACACAGGAGAGAGTGCCAGCTGCGGGCCTCCGAACCAGGAGCACCTCATAGCCCTGGCCATGTGGATGCTGAGCGGCTCCTTACAGACAGCAGGCCCTGTTGTGTGGGTGCAGGTTCACGCACCAAACAAAGGCATCCTGGGATGTGGACCTGGGTGTTGGGGCTGGGTGGGCCAGGCAGGAGCTCTTCTGCCAATCAGCGATGTGGGACCTAAAGTGGCTCCAAAAATAGTCTGTGTAGTAAGAAAAGCCTGGGAGCCCTTTTCTTTCACTGCAGTGGGGGGCAGGATGCGGGGGAGGGGGTCCATGGGCAGGGCACCTCTGTGGAAGCAGCCTGGCTGGTAATGTGGTAGAAAAGGCCATTACAAGTGTGCACTGAGTCTCCACTGGACCGCTCAGTTTCCCTCCCACCTTCACTGTCCAGGTACCTTGGTGCCATCCTTGCTGCTGACCAAACTGCTTCTGACCTTCCAGGTTCTTGAGGCTGTCTGCTCAGGAGTGGACACATGTCCTACTCCTCAGGGAATGGAGGCAGGGACATAGATAATATATAGATAGACAGCACGAGCCCTCGGGGCTCACCCAAGAAGCTATGAGCCTGAGAAGGATACAGCATGTGCAGCTTTGGGGCTAGAGTGGCCAGGCCTTGTCCACAGGCCCCCTGTGGCTGAGCCCTGGGCCTCTGTAGGGAGGCTGCCCCTCAGGAGCAGTTGACACCTCACCTTGTGCTTGCTCCAGTTTCCATTCCTGTGGGGCAGGAGTAGGTGAACAAGGGAGTCACGCCCTTCTGCGGTGCTCAGGGGACGTCACAGATGCCCAGGAGTATGTTCTCTCCTGCTGGCAATGTCATGGGTCTCCATGCAGGTCAGTGGGGCCTTAGCCACAGGCCAGCTTGTCCCTAATGCAAGCCCCTCTTCCACTAGCTGGACATCTTGTGCAACGAGGAGATCCTGGGCAAGGACCACACCCTCAAGTTCGTGGTGGTCACACGGTGGAGGTTCAAGGTGAGCTTGTGCCTGTGTGCTCCATGGTGCTCACTGCCCTGAGAACCCACCATGCAGCTCTCATCTTCTTGGGCTCTCACCCTGGCTGGGCCTCCTCGGGAGGGGGTCCTCAGCTTCCCACTCCTTGTTGGGGCAGGAGGCAGTGATCATTGTGCTCAGCAAACCTGCAAACCTTTGGTGGCTTACTGAAGCAGGGAACCATAGTGGAACCCCCATCCTGGGCAGAAAGGGCAGGAGGTGACTGGGCTGAATGAGGTCAGGGCTCCCGTGGCCAAAGGGTTGAGACCTGGAGCAGGAGAGACCACAGCCGGCACAGATGGGAGGGGCTGGCACCCTGGGCCCTGGCATCGGGCCTGAGCAACGCACAGGTGGTCTCTGGATTACCTGGACCAAGGATGTGGGGCTCAGTCCCCAGCAGCCCTGCATGGCCCTGGACCAGGGGAGTCTAGGGTGGCACTGTGGGTCTTTTAGCATGGGGCATGGCTCCTGCCTTCCTGGGAGGTGGCGTGTCCACTGACCCTGGTGGCCTACTGAGTGCCATGACTTTGTCTTACAGAAGGCGCCCCTCCTGCTGCACTACAGACCCAAGATGGACTTGCTGTGAGCCTGGCTCTTCAGACTGGCCCTATGTCCCAGGGGCCACATGGCCATGCGCAGCACCCGCAACAGAACTTGCTTCTGGGTGCCGGGTGGACCAGACTTCTGAATAGAGAATATTTATAACTTTTGTACAAGAGAATCCACACCCTACAAGACACTACCAGCACGTGTTTACAGAGGATGAAAACACTTGCAGTTCCACGCAGCCGCACGTGCTTACCCACCACAGGCCCTCGGCCGGCAGGCGCGGCACGAGGCTCCAGGACACCGTCTTACAGACCTCCGCTCGCTTTCCAGGTCTCGAGAATCTGAGTTCATTTCAGTTTAGTTCACGGATTGGTTTCTTAATAAGCCTCAAAAATACCGTACTTTTATTGAGTCCTTCCTAAGTTATTGAAAAAGTCTTTTCATGGTAAATATTTATGTTGCCTTTAGCTTCCTGAAGACTTAGAAGATATATAAAGATTTAATTTAAAGCATACCAAAAGAGGCTTGCGTTGGTACTGAGTGGGCACTAGTGTCCACCCCGCCTCGGGCAGCACAGTCCAGGCATGCGTCCAGGTGCACGTGTGGGGCTGGAGGGCCCGTGCCACCCAGGCTCCCAGCATGGCTCTGGCGCACCGGCTGGCAGACCAGAGGTGGCTCAGCCCGCTCAGCACGGGCCTAAAGACCCTTCTTGTTTTTAAAAATCTCATTTATTAAAAAGGGCACAGATTGTTTGGTGCCATCATTTAGTTTCCTACATTGTCCTCCCCGTTTCTGTGCTAAGGAAGAATGTTGGGCAGGGGCTTGTCAGACCAGTGTGGGGTTGGGGTGCTGGTGCCGGGTGCCTCCAAGCAAGACCAGCAGGGCTCTCCCTCCTGTAGATGGAGGCCACTGTGCTTTGCCACCCTTGTCCCGGGAAGGTGCTGGGTTGGGGTGGGCAGGCCCAGGGGAAGCAGCTCCCCCAGCACATCTTTCCCGGGTCACAGGCAGGGTGCTCTGTGCCAGCCCTCCCTGCTCCCCAGTGTCACGTTGCTGTTGAGTTAGAGGATGATTTCTGCCAGCAAGTACACGCAGACCCTCACCCCCGGCAGAGGGGCGGTCCTGGAGCTCCAACATAGGAGTCCTGGTGTTTCTGGGGAGCTTTGGGACCCCTCTCTCGGCCCTGCAGGGCAAGCATTACCCTGACCCCATGGTCCCTGCCAGGTGCTACCCACCAGTTCTTGTTGGGTAAATGGGAGTCTCTCTCTGAGGCCAGGTCACCAGGAGGCCTCACCAAGGCCTGGGGTTTTCCTGGGATTTGCTTGGAAAGCTGTGGTGGGCTGTCGGCATCCAACTCTGCTTATTTTCTTCTGCTTCCTGCTTCACTTACACAGAATGTCGGAAGCAGCAGCCTTGAGACCTAGTGTGAGGGGCAAGGAAGCATCAGAGTAACTGGTCCAGTTCCTGGTCCTTCTGAAGCAGACACGTGCTGTGAGGGGCTGGTCAGAGCCCACCTCCTCGAATAAGCCAGGACCATGAGAGTTAGTGCTCCAGGCTTGCTGTTCAGCACATGGTCTTTAGGGTTGCTCTACAAGGATTTATGAGCAAGTATTACCTGTCTACCTCAAAACACGTACTGCTAAAGCCTCCCGCAGAGCCACGTTGTCACAGAGCACTTGTAAGTGTGACATTAGAATGTAGGTACGTCCTGTGTGGTGAAACTAAAGAGAGGTTTGACACGTGAGCCTCCAGATTCTAATGGAGCTGGTTCACACAAGAATGAACCCCACTGTGCAGCCTTCTGGTGTGTGTGTGGCCTGCGGATGCCATGGAGTCCCAGGACGTGCTATGGTGCTAAGTTGAGAGCTCTGCCGCAGCACGGTGGACGCCGCAGCCAGCAGCCCTGCTCCTGTCGCTGCAGTAACTTGACCAAACCTCAGCAGCAAAAGTACCTATTTTTCTAAGATTCCATCACATGGCTGTCTTCTCTGCAGGACAGCCAGTGCCCTTCGCCCTTGGTCTGATGCGTAGCCTTACCTAGTCAGAGCCTAGAGCTGACGAGCCTGCCTCGCCTGCAGGCCTGAGGGAGCTTAACTGACTCCAGGCCGCCCGAGTTCCAGCGTGACCACCAGGGCCAGTTAGCACACCTTGCAGAGCCTCCTGGCTGAAAGAGCCTGTGGGGCAGTTTGTTATGGCGTGCTCATGCAGCGAGTGCAGTGAGGTGGCTCGCGGGGCCACTTGGACAGACTGGCACCCACCTCCCACACGTGGTCCACTAGGTGCCCTGTTCACAGGAGTGTAAAACTCAGATAGAATATATAATATTGGATTTAAAATGCGGGGGGGCGGGTTAAAAGAAAACTTTATAAAATTATTTATTCTACTTTAAGCCTTCTATCCTATTTCCCATCCCTCCTCCAGCTTCGGTGTCCAGCTTTACTTGCTGGCGTGTGGGATGAACTCAAGGTGTCTGGAGCTTCTGCTCTGCGTAGCGTCACGCCTGTGTTTCACAAGGTGACGTGTATTTGCCTGCTTCTGTTTGGTAGGCCCAGCGTGCCTCCAGGAGCCGCATGCAGACCATGGCAGCTGGGTTCTGCCGCAGGAGAAGGGAGGGCAGGTGGGATCCCAAAACACACGCATGCAGCCGTCTGGCTATTCCTCTTGGTTGCTGTCACCAGGACCCTGCTCCTGAGGGTGTGGGAAATCTGCCAGTGGTGTTCAGCAGGGTGGCCCATGGCCCCCAGTTCATGTGGCCGGGCTGGCCAGGCTGGGCCACACCCGAGGTGGCCCTGGGGTCTGGTTTGGTTTCTAAATAGAACACGCAAGACGTCACTTGGTGGTCTGTAGCGTGCTGTGGGCAGCCTCCCCGTCACACGTGAGCACGCGGTGTGTCTAGAGCATCAGGGGCATTGTCGGGTAGCTAGGTCACAATCAGTTCCCCGCTTCCTCAGGAACCCACGCCAGCTCCCCATATCACATGACCTTAGCTCAAAACACAAGTGTGTCTCTGCCTTGATCTTGAAATACACCAAGGAAACAGATGGAGATAAGCAAGTTGGAAACGATCGATGTTAGGACTGCACCGTGGACTCACCACGCCTGTGCCCACCAGGCAGGGGTCAGCGTGGGGAGGACAGGCTGAGCGCCCAGGGTGCCTGGCTTCAGGGGAGCGTCACCTCAGTGGTTCAGCCCAGCTGCAGGTGGGACGCAGGGCTGGGACACAGCACTGGCTGGTGTCCCTGGCCTGGGCAGGTGATGGGGCAGACCTGGGCACTGAATGTGTGGCTTGCAGTTCATGTGCTCATCCTTTCGTTGGTGTGATTTGTACCTCGGTGGCGGCTTCTGTCTGAACTCTGGGGAATACTCCTGATGCTTGACTTCACGGCGGTGGAGCTTGTACTCAGTGTTTGCCACTCAATATTATATGCTTGTAATAAAAGCAGAAGAAAATCTACTGCATCTCCTGGGCTGGAAGTTTATTACGTCAGGTTTTTGTGAGCATGAGACCCTTGACCTGCTGGAGAACAGCTGGCCCTGCCTGCGCCTGAACTGAGGACGCAGACTTGCTGACCCCTTGGTATGGCCGAGGGCCATCTGCCTGGCATTCACCTTATACCAGGTAGTCCAGATCACCTGGAGACAAGTGAGCCTGGTAGGCAGCATCATGGGCGGGTCCTGGGAACAATTCCTGGGTGCCTGTAAGTGTGGCAGGAGATGCTGTAGTGTGCAGCCCACTCAGGCCTGCCTTGCCTGCATTAGGGCACATGCTTACCACACACGTGTTCACAAGCACACGGTCCTTCCAGGCTTGTGTCCTCATGCTCCATGTTGCCCTGGCATGGAGGTCATTTCAGTGGCCTGGCGAGGGGCATCGGGTTTGCAGAGGTTGTTGGCTTGGAGCAGCTCTGCCAACAGGGGTGCTACTGGAAGGTGTGCTGGCCCCAGCAGGGGCATGACAGGCCCAGGTTCCACTGTATATTCAACGGTTTGCCCAGAAACACAGTGTTGAAAACCTGAGGAAACGAGCGTTGGAAGGCCAGGAAGGTTGCTGCTGGGCTAGAGTCGGAGCCAGGGTGAGTGTGATCTTGGGAATCTCACTTGACCTCTGCTTTTCTTACCTTTGGCGAGTCGCCTGCCCCATTGTACGGGTGTGAAGATCTTGCAGAACCCTGTGCTGGTGGTGTTGTCCCAGGTGCTGGAGTGGACCGGACGAGAGCCTCGGGACCTCCTGCTCATTGCCACCCAGGCTGGCAGAGGGCAGCATGTGCCAGGAAGGTCAGTGGTGCCAGCTCGGAGGGGCACCACTCTATGCCCACAGTGGGGCCTGTGTCCATAGAGCAGTGACTGGGTAATGACAGGGCATAATCAGGGCCTCTGCACGCTGGCCGCTACTCAAGCCCCACTCCAGCCAGATGTCCTGTGGGTGCAGAGGCCTCCTCTAAGATGCAGCTGCCCCTGGTTGCCTGTGCCCAGCTGCTTTTCCTAGAGGAGGTGAGACAGTGGCTCTCCTGGTGGAACACAGTGAGGCTGTCCTTTGTGCGGTTTGCTGTGCCCTGTGAGCAGCGTTGAGTCCTCTGGGCCGCACTGGCTGCACCCCGAGCCTGGCCTGTAGTGGCAAGGTCTGTGGCCAAGTTGCCAGCTCTTCAGCTTATCTTTTTCTCCTCTTTTTCTTTGGTAGATCAATTATTTTTTTCACCTTGGTGAGCTCAAATTTATCCATATTTTCCTTTTTGGATTCTTTGACTATGCTTTTGGCATTATATCTAATAAACTATTTGCCAAATGCCAAGTCCCAAAGATATTTTTCTGTTTTCTTCCAAGTGCTTTGTATTTTCATGTTTCACGTGTATGTGATGTATTCGGTTGATTCTGTGAAAAGTGACATCAAGATTGAGGTTCAGGTTCAGGTCTGGGTGCCACGTGTACCATTACCACTGGCTAAACAGATTGCTTTGCACCCCTGTAGCAAGTGGCCCTGTGTGGGGTCTTTCCCTTGCTCTGCTCTGACCTCCGACTGTGTCCCTGTAGCAGACCACAATGCTTGGAACAAGTCAACATGAGTGGTGGGCTGGGTCCAGTTCTGTTCTTCTTTTATTTATATCTATATCCCTATCCCTGTCCCTCTCTCCCCCTCTCCCTCCCTCACCTCCCTCCCTCCTCTCCCTCCCCTTCTCTCACTCCCTTCCCTAACCCTCCCTCTTCCTCTCCCCCCATATATAGCATGTGTATACGTGTGTATGTGTGTGTGGCGCTGCTGGAGCCCAGAGCTTCCTGCATAGGAGGCAGTTTCTCTACCCCCGAGCCACACCCCGCCTGGTCTTCTTTGTAAAGAATTGTTCTAGTGCCCCTTTCTGTCTACCCCTGCATATAAACTCTAGGGTTGTCTTGTCTACGTTACAGAAAGCCCTGCTGGGGTTTCTGGAACTGTGTCAGTTCATAGGTCACTCTGGGGAGATGCCCAGTCCTGGGCCGCAGTGTCTTTCCACACAGGGGCCACTTTGGTTTCTGTCGGCATTCTGAAATTCCTGGCTCTATGATCCCCTGCACATCTGGTCTACTTATGCCTGATTCTCATTCTCCCTCCCCTCTTCAGGGAGCCTATTGGTTTTTAAATTTCAATGTTCACACTCTTTATTGCTTATATATACTAATAACTGTGCTTTGTTTGTCTATTTGTTTTTGGTATTGGAGATTGAACCCAGGAGTGCTCTATCCATTCCTTTTATTTTTTATTTTGAAACAGGGCCTCACAAAGTTGCTGAGGCTGGCCTCAAACTTGCAATCTTCCTGCCTCAGCTTCCCACATCACTGAGATCACAGGCATGTGCCACGGCACCAGCTCCATTAAGATGGTTTTGGTGTATTGTCCTGTGAACGTGTGGAGCTTAGCGTTAGCTCTCAGAGAGGCTCTGCTGTTTTAGATCAGTCTGGCACTCTCCTGAGGGAAGCCAGGGAGCTGCCCAGCTCCTTTACCCACTTGCATGGTTTTCAGTCCTTCTACCTTACTGCCCTGACCAGGAGTGGAGGAAGGATGCCTTTGCCTTGTTCCCCACCTCGGGAGGACAGCGTTCAGCATTTCACCACTGATGGTTGCCTTTGCACGTGTGTCCGAGTCCCTACACCTGAAGCTGGATGCAGTGCTGGGCCCAAGGGGAGCCTCCATGGGGAGGCTCCATGCTCAGGAGGCTGAGGCAGGAGGATCCCTGGAGCCCAGCAGTTTCAGGCCAGACCAGGCAGCACAGCAAGACCCATCTCCAAAACAGAACTACACACACTTAAATCTTGAGTATGATAATTTTTAAAAGAAATTTAAAATAAAATGCACCACCAACCAGGGAGCAATTGGAATTTGAAATTAAGTATACAATATCATTATCACTAAAAGAAATGAAGCTCACAGATATAACTCTGACAAAACAGACGCAGTATGCACAAGGAATGCCACGTGCTGTGACGGAACAGAGAAAGGCACCACCCAAGGGATGCACACTCACTGGGGTGAGGTCCTCCTGGCTGCAGCCGGCCCTGTGGTCAATGACCAGCTACGCAGTGATGGAAGCAGCGGCATTCAGTGGGAGGACACCACCCCACAGGAGCCAAGTCGTGAGAGATCACACCCCTAGGGGAGAACTGAAACCTTGAGCCCAAAAAGGAGGCAAGAGAGGCTTGGGCCTGGGTGTGTGGTGGCTTCTCAGGTACATCACCATAGGAAGACACGGGAGCCCTGGGCTTTGTGGTAGGGCACCAAAGTATGTCCTCAGAGAAATAGCTGGTGAGATGGTCTTCCTCATGATTTAGAAACCTCGCTTTTCTAAGACACTGTAGGGGAATGAAAAATAATCCACAAACTAGGAGAAAGTATCTGCAAGTCACCTCCTAAAGAACTAGTGTCTAAATGCACAAAGAACACCATCTTAACAATAACAAACCACCTCGTTTTTAAAACGGGCAGAACTCCTGAACAGACAGCTCTCCAGAAGAGATGCAGATGGCAAATAGGCCTGCTAATAGGTGCTCAGAATCACACATCATCGGGGATTGCCAGCTGGACGGATGTGGAGGCCCAGCCACAGGCCTGCTGGAGAGGCTGGAGCCCTGAGAGGTCTTGCCACGATGGACACGGTCGTGCTGCCTTCTGTAGACCTGGGTGCACAGTGCTTTCCATGAGCATCCACAGCAGCTTCATTCAGAGCTGGGCGCAGCCACCACCTGTGATTCCAGCCACTTGGAGGCTGAGGCAGGAGGTGCAGGTTCTAGGCCACCTGGGCAACAGGAAAGTGTTCTGTCCCATCAGCTGTATGGAAATGCCAATGGAACCATTAGAGATCCTATCTCAAAAAACAAAAGGTGGGGATGCAGCCCTGTAGTAGAGCACCTACACTAGCGTTGCAAGGGGAGGGGAGGGGGAGAGGTGGACCCGGAACAGCTGAGACATCCTTCAGTGGTGATGTGGTCCATCTGAACCAGGAACACGAGGCAGTGAGGAAAGAAATGGGACTGTGCTGCGGCACTAGAGAGCTCTTGCCAAGCACACACCAGACCTGGTTTGTCCCCAGCACTGGAAGAGGGAGGGAGGGAGGGAGGAGAGGAGGGGAAGGAAGGAGGGAGGGAAGAAAAGAATTGAACTGCCAAGCCACACAGCCCAGGTGACCTAATGCACACCACTGGGTGAAAGATGGTGAACGCTGAGAGCACCTTTAGGACCTTCTGGTGAGGGGCAGGGAGGGAGACCATCAGTGGAACCCCCGGGGGTGCCGCCATGGTTCAGGAGCTCCACTGCACAGCTGTCCCCTGCACTGCCCCAGTGAGTCCAGGGATGGACTGGACTTCTGCTTCCGGCAGCATCAGTTGGCACATGGCTGTCCTGATTCAATGTTAGGACTAGAGCTGGACCAAGGGGCACACGGAGCTCTGTGCTCCTCTCGACTTTTCATAACCTTAAAGCTGCTCACAAAATTAAGTCCAGTAATTTTCAAAAAGGACAACAACCCATTTTAAAGTAGACAAAAGATTTGAGTCCACACTTCTCAAAAGGAAGATACATGGCAGCCAGCAGCGCAGGAAAGTGTTCTGTCCCTCAGCTGTGCGGAAATGCCAATGGAACCAGTATTGAAAGCCAGACTCCTTGCAGAGCTGACCCCTGACCCAGTGGTCACACACTTATCACACTGGCAAACGGACTACAGCTCCTCTCAGGCAGCCTGCGCCTGGCTTTTGCCAAGGGAGGTGGAAGCCAACACTTTTGAGACCAGGCAGCAGCCTGTGCTCTTCTGTTCACACATTGTGACTCTACCTGACCGGGATTGCTGTGACTCACTCATGTCAGTGGGCAGCAGCACTCTGGGTCCTTTTTGTCACCCCACCACCACCACAGTCCCCTTCCTCTGTGCTCCCTTCTGTCTCCCTAGGACATTCTTTCCTTCTCTCTGTAGTTCTCCATATGAGAGAAAGCATCTGAC